TTGCTTATGTGGTGCTGAGGATCTAACCCAGGGCCTCAGGCATGCAAGGCAAGCACTCTACCACTGAGCCACCTTCCCAGCCCCTGGCCTCATTTTTAATAATCAGTAATTTTGTTATGTTTCTGATTTCACATGTTACAATATCAGAGTTTTTTGGGGTGTTTTTTTTTTTTTTTTTTTTTGCCTTTATAAGGTTTGTGTTAACTTCATTCTGATGTTGTGAGTTTTCTGAGATGTGAGTCCACTTACAGTCACCAGCTTTGCAATAAAGACTCCCGATTCTGAACTATGGATAATTAAGTAGCCCATTCTGGTATCTTAATAGATGATGGGGGAATTTTCATCCAGTCCTAAGAACTCTACAAGTGGCAAGTGATGGATGTTAGGAAAGAGGAGAAGAAAAGAAAGAACAGGCTAAACTCAATCTTAACAGGCTAGGACCGTTCATTCCCAGCAAGGGACACAGACCTTCCCATGGGTTTAGAGGTTTATATAAGGAGATGGGCTCAGGAATGGGTTTTATGGGGTCTAGCAGGAAGGCAGAGGTTAATGAAAGCGCCACTAGGTCAAGCGAGGTGGAGGGCTCAGGATGGAATATTTACAGCCAGGCTTAGATGGATTGCCCTGCCAGTGTCTAAGTCTGTACTTATGGCCTGCCTGGTATCTGTATGAACCTAGGGAAACAGGGTTGGAGTCAGTCCTTCAGTAGAGGACTTCCTTTGATCTGCAGTTGTGTTATGGGTTGTTAAAGCACTATAGAGGTGATATTTTCTTAATTGCAAGTGTGTCATGAGTTGTGCTGCTCCAGAGAATACTTGCCCTTGGTTGTCCTAGTTTGTTCCCCCTAGATAGCTTGCTTCAGCAAAACAGGCTAGTCCCCATGCCATGTGCCATCTGCCTTGATGTGGTTCTTGTTTTTAGAAGCTTTGTAATCACACTATTCAGCACTGCAGATTCTTTGAGACGCTAGTCCGCTTGCCATCGTCAGCTTTCTAATAAAGACTCCCAATTCGACCTCTTCAAGTATGACTTCTCTGTATCTCCTGTACAACAGCAGAACCAGGACCTGCTCCGTAAGTTTACACAAGAAGTTCTTGGAACCAGGTGTAAGTCCCTTCTCCCCTGCCCCCCAGCTCACCATGCCTTGTGTCTCCTGACTCTTCTGCTGGTCACCATGGCGTCCCTCTTCAACTTTCCATTAAAATTGGTCTGGTCTATTGACATTGTTTTCTGCTCTTTATTCTAATACCCTCTGTTAGGTTTATTAAGTAGCTGATGAATGAGAACACCACACTGTTTTCAGGCAGGAGAGAAGTTGATTTTCCAGTCTGCCCCACCGTGCCTGGTGGAGCCACATGGCCCAAGGGGGCCCACGGGTGGGCCCAGGTTTATCTAGGGCAGGGGTAGAGAGAAGGCGTGCCAGGTGGGGGGAAGGTGTAGCCACACCAGATGAGGATATGACCTCAGAGAAGGGAGAAGTAACTGCCTCCAGGTAGGCCAGTTACCTAGGTAACCCAGGTACTGGGTGGAGACGTAGACAGGAGGGGAGAGTCTGCATGGCCCTTCCTGAGTCGACCTTACACCCCCTTGACTCAGTTTCCTAACTCAGTTTCCTAGACTATTATACAAATTTTAACTCTTTGTAGATGCAGAGATGCATTTAATGGTGGCGGGGGGGGGGGGGGGGGAGGGGGGGGGAGGGGACGGGACGGGGGAGACACAGACACACAAAAAGAATGATTTCTTCTTCTTTTACAGTGTGCCCTCAGAAAGAGTCCAGCTGGTGTGAACTTTCTGCAGAGCTTGATTATGTTAAGATGGATATGTCATCAGCAGCAGCTAACATTCTGGTCTTTCAGGGCACACAGGAACAAGAAAAGATTGTGATGCTGGAACCAAATGAAGATCAGTCTTGGGAGTATGAAACCAGGCTACCTAGGAACCCCTCTACCAGCCAGGAAGTCTTTCGCCAGCGCTTTAGGCAGCTCTGCTACCAGGAGACTCCAGGTTCCCGGGGAGGCCCTGAGCCAGCTGTGGGTACTCTGTTGTGATTGGCTGAGGCCAGAGACACACCAAGGAGCAGATCCTGGAGCTACTGGTGCTAGAACAATTTCTTGCCATCCTGCCCGAGGATCTGCAGTCCTGGGTGCAGGAACATCACCCTAAGAGTGGATAGGAGGCTGTGACTGCGCTGGAGGACTTGAAGAAAGGACTTGAACCAGGTCGGCAGGTGGGGAAGGGGTGTTGGATCTGTTGTGGGAGCCAGATCAACGAGCTGCAGGCTGGACAGAGGGACAGCAATAGGGGGAGTTGCCAAGGTAGAGCAGTTAGTATGTGTTTCTGTCTCAGTCTTTTCTGCCCCATGAATGAGAAAGAGGCTCTCTAAAGTCTCCTTGGAAACTTCAGTCCTGATCACCTGCTGGTTCCAGGTCCTGCCCATGAACCTATCCAGAAAGCGCCAAGGGAGAATGCACCAAACATCCAGCTGCAACCCAAGGAGACTCAGCTCAAGTGTGAAACTCAGGAGACCCAACTGATCCAACATGTGAATCAAGTGTGAATCTCAGGAGCCCCAGCCTTCCCTGAAGAGTGGTGAGCCACAGGACTAGGTAGGAAGGGAGAGGGGCTCTAGAGGGCACAATGTTTAATACCTGATCAAGGACCCAAAGTAGGTGTTTGAATGTTTGCTCTGATCATCATGGCCTTACTATTCTTACCTTTTAAAGACTTAGCCTGTCTCATTACCCATAAAATTAGGAATAACTAACCTATCTTGGTGTAGCCTGTGATAGAGTACTTAACATACAAGAAGCCCTGGATTCAATCTCCCACACCACAAAATAAAAATAAATAGCACAACTTACCTAAAGTAGCTCTGTGGATTACATTGACTATAAAGGCTAGCTAGTGTTTCTTAGCTTTAAAAGGAGCACTAAGCCGGCACCAGTGGCTCATGCCTATAATCCTAGCTACTCAGGAGGCTGAGAGCTGAGGATCATGGTTCAAAGCCAGCCCAGGCAGGAAAGGCCATGGGACTCTTATCTCCAATAAACCACTCACAAAACCAGAAGTGAGGGCTGGGAAGGTGGCTCACTGGTAGAGTGCTTGCCTTGCATGCATGAGGGCCTAGGTTCGATTCCTCAGCACCACATAAGCAGAAAAAGCCAGAAGTGGCGCTGTGGCTCTAGTGGTAGAGCACTAGTCTTGAGCTGAAGAGCTGAGGGACAGTGCCCAGGCCTAGAGTTCAGGCCCAATGACCAACCAAAAAAGAAAAAAAAAAAAAGAAAATGTAAAAAACAAACAAAAAAAAACAACCAGAAGTGATACTGTGGCTCAAGTGGTAGAGCACTAGCCTTGAGCTGAAGAGCTGCGGTACAGTGCCCAGGCCCAGAGTTCAAGCCCATGACCAGCAACAACAACAAAAAAAGGAGCACTAGGCTTGAGCAAAAGAGCCCTGAGTTCAAGCCCCAAGACCAACTATATAAATGAATGACTAAATAAAAGGAACTCTAAAGCTGAACCACAAAATATTCCATCCACTTCCTGTTTCATTTCTGCTGCTCTTGGTATTTTTTTTTCTTTCACAACTGGGGCTTGAGCTCAGGACCTTGTACTCTCACTTGGCTTTTTGTTCAAGGCTGACATTCTACCACTTGAGCCATAGCTCCATTCAGTTCAACTGTTCTTGACACCTAGTTCTACTGACCACCCTTGGGATCCTTTATCTTTTACCTTCCTTGTGATTTCCCAAACATGCTTTTTTTTTATTCTTGTTTTTAATGTTTGTTTTTTATATACTTTTATTAAGGTGTTGTACAGAAGGGTTACATTTCACAACCAAGCATACGTTGACTATCCATACACTTCTATGGGTGAGACCTCCCCCACTCCCATCCTCACCCATACCACCCCCACCCCCATCTAAAGGCCTCACTTGAAACTCTCATGTCTACACTTCTAACCTTCAATTTACTACAGACGCTGCATACACTTTTCACAAGCATCTTCCTTCTCAAAATAAACACTAGACTTACTCCCTCAGGAATGAACTGGCCCTACTGAACTCTGTCATGTTTGTTGCTAATCAAGAAGATTCTAGTTAACCTTTTTTTTTTTTTGGGTCCGGTTGTGGGGCCTGAACTCTGGGCCTGGGCGCTGTCCCTTAGCTGTTCAGCTCAAGGCTGGCGCTCTACCATTTGAGCCACAGCACCACTTCCGGCTTTTTTTTTCTGCTTATGTGGTGCTGAGGAATGGAACCCAGGGCCTCATGCATGCAAGGCAAGCACTCTACCACTGAGCCACCTTCCCAGCCCCCCTGCTCTCTTCCTTTCTCCTTCTCTCTTTGTGTGGTACTGGGACTTTCTCAGCATTTTACTCACAGCTGGATCTCTACCACTTAAGCCATACCTTTGCTTCCAGCTTTTCGCTGAGTAACTAGATTTGTCTGCCCAGACTGGCTTTAAACTTCAATCTTAGATCTCTGAGTAGCAAGGATTACAGCTGTGAGTCACTGACACACCCATCCTTTTTTCTCTTATTTAAGAGAAGCTGAAAAGAATCTTGCTTTGAAATTATTTTTCAAATGATACTTTTTTAGTGTTCCATTCTGGAAAGACTAGATGGAGGGAGCGGGGAACAGATACGTGGAGGAAAGGAAAAAGAACTCCTCAAGCAGGGGCTGGTGGCTCACGCCCGTAATCCTAGTTACTCAGGATCTGCTGGTTGTGGTTCAAAACCAACCCAGGAAGAAAGTCCATGAGACTCTTATCTCCAATTAACCACCAGAAAACTGGAATTGGAGCTGTGGCTCAAAGTGGTAGAGCCCTAACCTTGAGAAAAAAGAGCTCAAGGACAATGCCCAGGCCCCTGAGTGCAAGCCCTACAATTGATAAAAAGATCACCACTGGTCAATATTCTTCCAGTCTTTGTTATATGTAAAACCAATATTTTAAGCTCTTATTCCAGAAACGTCCTTTCTAATCCAAATGTCATTTTGCTATATGACAGAACAGGCATACTGTGATTTTCCATCAGTTATTATAGTGGATGGCCCAGAACCCAAAGAAGCAAGATTATTGCCACAGCCACCGGTTACAAAAGCAGAATCACAGGTGCTCTCAGAAATACTTGCCACTGACATCTCAACAGTTAAAGTTACCTGGGAAGTAGAGATCACCTTAAAACAACAGCAGAGAAGTACCAGAGCAGAGACCAAAGTGGTCCTCTGCTCAGAGAAAGTTCCAGACTGATGGTGGTCACTCCTAAGAAAACTCCCATGGGGAATAAAGACTATGAAGGCAGTAAATGTGGGGAAGCCTTCATTTATAGCTCTCCTTGCAGTCTACCAGAGAATCCAGTCTGGAGAGAAACCCTTTCAGTGCAGTGACTGTGGGAAAACTTTCAATCACAGATCAAACTTCATCCAGCACCAGAGAATTCATACAGGAGAGAAACCCTATAAATGTAAGGAATGTGGGAAGGCCTTCCGGTTGGGTACCCATCTTGTTAAACACTGGAGGACTCATTCAGGAGAGAAACCCTACAGTGTGGTGAGTGTGGGAAGGCCTTCAGCCAAAGCTGGTATCTAAGTCAGCATCTGAACATTCATAGTGGAGAGAAGCCTTTTCGATATAGAGAATGTGGCAAGGCTTACCAGTGGAATTCAGTACTTTTGAGACATCGCAGAGTTCATGCTAGCAGAGAGTTTCCGCAATGTGCTGAAGATGGCAGAGCCTCCAGACAGACTTGTACTTTTGTCTAGGCACCTTAAGGCTTTTCCGGTCTTTCTGGATTAGGAAAAATTGTTTATATAGTCCTACCTGTGTATAGTCTCACTTTATGTTCTTTGATTAACATGAATGTGTCCATTAGGATGCCTTTGGTTGTATATGATAGCTACGTTGTGCCATTTCCCCTTTCTGAAGTCACCTTGGACAGGTTCTGCACTGTACAGCAATAATGTAAGGACAGGGATGTACACTTGAGAATCCTTGCCCTGCCCCAGAGAAACTGCTTAGTGACAGTTACTAGCATTTTCTGTGGATGGCTCTTTGGTCCTGGCCCTTGCTTAGACCCATGGAAATATGTCTTCTTAGGCAACGTCACATCTGCAAATGTCCAGGCAGGACACAGAAATGACTCCTGTAATCAGAACAAGGAATGTTAATATACGTGATATTAACAAGTAACTGGATTATCTGGTAAGGAAATCTCTGAGGAATATAGGAATACTTCAATGCTGGTAGCTCACACACCTATAATCCTAGCTACTCAGGAGGCTGAGATCTGAATATCAAGGTTCAAGGCCAGCACAGGTAGGAAAATCCATAGTTTTTACCTCCAGTTAAGCACCAAAAAAGCCAGAAGTGGCGCTGTGGCTGAAGTGGTAGAGTGCTAGCCTTGAGCAAAAGAAGCTCAGGGACAGTACTCAAGCCCCAGTATCAGCATACCAAAAACTAAAAACAAAAATTTTATGAATGTTGGAATGGGAAATAGCTACTATTTCTAGGACTCAGAAATAGTTGAAGAAGCACTTAGAAGTTTCCTTACAATTCTGACTTCACTGGAACAGGTGTGGCTGATACAGAGGTAAGTTACAACTAGTCTATAAGGCTTGAAAGAGTCAATTTTGCCACCTCTCTTCCTAAATCTTCAGAGAAAATAGGAATATTTCACACTGGGAAAGCCAGCCAGCAAATCAGAGATTTTATTGTTGCCTTTGAGCAAGTTAAATGTTTACCAACACAGGCGATGGCTTTCTGGGTAGTGATGCTCACTGAGGTACAAATGGGCCAAGACTAATCATTAGGAAACCTCTAGTGGAGGTGCCAGGAAGACTTGGTGGGAGGTGGGTGCACTGGGTCTCACAGCTGTGCTGTAAGAACAAGATGGACAAAAACAGAACCGGAAGCAGCCCCTCTCCCTTTGCCTTGTCCTTGTAGTGCCCTTCACTAGCAAAGGGGAAATGTACAGAGCCCTAGCTCCAGTATCATAATGCAGGACAAAAGAATAGTGGGTTTGGATCTAAGAGGCAATAGATTTACCACTGGCCCACATTTCCAGCTTATTTCTACCTCAGGACCTCGTGATTGATAAACTGCCTTCACCTCTTCCCTAATGGTTACATAAAATACCTTTTTTTAATAGTAAGAAAACTTGGCAGGATCTTATTAAGTAAATAAGCAAGTAAGCAGACAAAAAGCAAAAAAGCAGACACTGTACCACAGTGTGGGTGCTCTAGAGGAAAGACACTAAAATACCTTTTATCCAGATCTCTAAATGGTACTTCCCTGTCTCTAACATAAGTTTCTCTCACATAAACATCTAGAAGTAGGTGAGAAGCCACCTTTGATCAAGTATAAAATCCCAATTCAGTTCACAGTCTGGAGTTGTCCCACAAGCTAAGACTGTTTTACTTTTTTGTCGGTCGTGAGGCTTGAACTCTGGGCTTGGGCACTGTCCTTCAGCTCAAGGCAAGCGCTCTACCACTTGAGACACAGCACCACTTCTGGTTTTCTGGTTTTTAGTTTATTGGAGGTGGGTCTCACAGACTTTCCTGCCTGGGCTGGCTTTGAACAGTGATCCTCAGATCTCAGCCTCCCGAGTAGCTAGGATTACAGGCATGAGCCACCAGCACCTGGCTTATATTTTTTATGTATTAAATTGTTTTAAATATGTAAGAGTCCAGGCACTGATCATTCACTCTGTAATCCTAGCTTATCAAGAGACTGAGATCTGAGAATCAAGGTCCAAAGCCATCCAGGGCAGGAAAGCCCATGAAATTCTCATCCAATTAACTACCAAAAAAGCTGTGACTCAAATAGTAGAGCACTAGCCTTGAGCAAAAAAAGCTCAGTAATAGCACCCAAACCCTGAGTTCAAGCCCCAAAATAACACAAATGTGTGTGTGTTTGTTGTGTGTGTGCATGCAAGAGAGTAAGTGGTCCTCAAAGCCTAAAATATTTGACATCTGCCCCCCCTTTTTTTTGTCTGTTATGGGGCTTGAACCCTGGGCCTGGGTGCTGTCCCTCAGCTCTTCAGCTCAAGGGGAGAGCTCCACCACTTGAGCCACAGCACCACTTCCATTTTTTTCTGCTTATGTGGTGCTGAGGAATCAAATCCAGGGCTTCATGCATGTGAGGCAAGCACTACCACTGAGCCACCTTCCCAGCCCCAACATCTAGCCCTTTACAAAAAGCTAAGCTCTGCTCTACTAATTGGTTTGGCTTAACTTCACTAAGCATTTCAGGGTGCCCTATGTTTTCTGTCTGTTCTTTGTTCCTCTAAGGATGTTTTTGTCTTCATAGTTGGTCATTACCATACCCAAATTCAGCTCACAAGAATTGATAATATCAATAAGAACACATGACTTTCTTCCTGAAAATGTCATGGAAGGTAGTCCATTGCTTTGGTGAGAATTCAATTACATGGCCATATCTGTCTTCCAGAAAAGTCAGGAAACAGAAAACACCTGTAGCTACTTGCACAATTAAAACTACTATTGTGTGCTAAGTCCTGGTGGCTCACTCTTGTAATCCTAGCTACTTGGGAGGCTGAGATCTGAGGACTATGGTTCAATGCAGCCCAAGCAGGAAAATCCATACTTATTTCCAATTAATCAGAAAAAGCCAGAAGTGGAGCTGTGGCTCAAGTGGTAGAGTGCCAGCATTGAGTGGAAAAACTAAGGGACAGCGCCCAGGTCTGTAGTTCAAGCCCCAGGCTGGAGACACACCAAAAGCAAACCCTACTTACTGTAGCAGTGAAGGAGAAAACAATTATGAGAAGACAACCAGCAGTCTTAACATCTTTCCACTTCTGCAACCCAGTGTAGCTGGTTTAGATAAAGAAGAGTGCTGGTCCCTGAAGGCATAAATAAATAAGGACTCAGCCTAATAGGTAGAGAGTCTGTCTGTTCTGGCTTCATGTCTAGGGAAACCTCATCAAAGGGAAATACAAAATGCACATGTCTGGGCTGGGAATATGGTCTTGTGGTAGAGTGCTTGCCTAGCATGCATGAAGCCCCAGGTTGGATTCCTCAGTACCACATACACAGAAAAAGCCAGAAGTGGCGCTATGGCTCAAGTGGTAGAGTGCTAGCCTTGAGCTGAAGAGCTTAGAGGCAGAGCCCAGGCCCAGAGTTCAAGCTCCACCACTGACAAAAAAAGAAAGAAAAGAAATGCACATGTCAGGCAGGGTTTTGTTTGTGTTTTTGTTTTTGGTCAGTTGTGGGGCCTGAACTCGGCCCAGGTGCTGTCCCTCAGCTCTTTCAGCTCAAGGCTAGTGCTCTACCACTTGAGCCACAGCGCCACTTCCAGCTTTTTCTGCTTATGTGATGCTGAGGAATCGAACCCAGGGCCTCATGCATGCAAGGCAAGCGCTCTACCACTGAGCCACCTTCCCAACCAGGCAGGGCTTTAGGTTTTTGTTTTTTTGTGCTGCTCCTGGGGCTTGAACTTAGGGCCTAGGAGCTGTCCCCGAGTTTATCTTGCTCAAGGCTAAAGCTCTACCACTTGAATCACATTGCCACTTCAGGCTTTTTGATGGTTAATCAGTGATAAGTCTCATAGACTTTCCTTCCCAGTCTGGCTTCGAACCTGTAACCTTGCTCCACCTGGTTGGGATCCTGCTTCTTCTTTATCCTTGAATGATACTCAGACCTAAGACCTTCAGTGAGACAGGTTATTTTGACGCAAATTCACCTCAAAATCTGAGGGATGCACAAGAAGTTATTATGGAAGGTCCTTGGTAATTTTAAAGAAAAAAGTTGGCTTTTAGGGACATTTCAAGGGCTTCATGGATTCAACGACAGGTTTCAAGAAGTCCATAAATTTCCTGATACTGTGTGCCCATTTTTTCTGGTCAGGATAGTTATAATTCTCAATGAAGATTCTTGCTTTAACAGTCTTAGGAATCTGTGTTAAACCAGAAGTCATTAGAACACTGGTAAAAACTAGAATTGCAAGTCTGGCAGGCAGTGGCTCACACTTGTAATCCTAACTATTCAAGAGGTAGCAAATGATGAGAAGTGGGGGAAAGATACAGAAAAGAATCCAATATACTACAAAATTGAGAGGCGGGAAGAGAGGGGTGGGTAAGTGTTGAAAGGGATAACATTGAGCAAAATATGTTGTATTCATACACAGCTTTGTTAAATGGCAACTTCTTTGTACAAATACCTAAAGATACTATTTTTTTTTTGGTGGGGTCCGGTTGTGGGGCCTGAACTCTGGGCCTGGGCGCTGTCCCTCAGCTCTTCAGCTCAAGGCTAGCGCTCTACCACTTGAGCCGCAGCGCCACTTCTGGCTTTTTTCTTTTTGCTTATATGGTGCTGAGGAATCGAACCCAGGGCCTCAGGCATGCAAGGCAAGCGCCCTACCACTGAGCCACCTTCCCAGCACCGGTAGTAATTTTTAAAAAGGAAAAAAAGACCTTGCAGACCATATTCAGAAAGAAAGAAAAGAGTGAGATCTATAAGATGGCAATGGAGACCAGGTTGGGCAGAAAAGGTCGTAGACTCCAGCTGTAAAATAACCAGCCAAAAGCAGGGTTGGAGGCATGGTCCTAGTGGTAAAGGCAGACTGGGAAGTACATAGGTCCTGAGTTGAAACCCCTGTACAGCAATAAATTAATAAATAGCAATTAGCAGCAGACCTAAAATCTCAGTAATGGATGATAATTTTTTTAACTGGTCCATCCAGACTGAGAATATCTTACATTATCACGAAATGAAGGAAAAATAAACACAGGCATACCCAATAGGCGTCCTGTTTGGAAAGATGATCTTACTAGGTGAAAACCACCCCCTGGTTCAATTTTTAACAGCAAAGGGGAAGAGAAGCTAAATGCAGAGAATTGGGTGGATGGGCTGGATATCTGGAAATAAAAGAGCTGAAATGGCTGAGTCCTGAGAAATTATGGCAAATTAGTCATCCTTAGCAGTTTGGCCAAGGGCCCTGTGAAAACAAAATGTCTAATGGAACGTATAATATAACTCTTCTCCACTGGTTTTGAGGTAGATTCCTGGCACAAGATCACTAGGAATTTATAAGTAGTCCAGGCTGGCCTCAAACTTGAAGTATGGTTGCCTCTACCTCATTAATGCTGAGATTACAGGTGTAAGCTACTGTGCTGGGCTTCTCTTCCCCATGTTCTACACTTCAGTGAAGTCTTTTCTGCTCACAAAGTGTTTTGAGTAGATTGGGTCAGGGGGGTGACCAAAGATGTGCTGAAGGTTTGGGGGTTTCTTTGTTTTGTTTTTGTCGGTCGTGGGGATTGAACTCTGGGCCTGGGCACTGTCCCTCAGCTCTTCAGCTCAAGGCTAGCGCTCTACCCCTTGAGCCACAGCGCCACTTCCGGTTTTCTAGTGGTTTATTGGAGATAAAAGTCTCATGGACTTTCCTGCCCCGGCTGGCTTTGAACCGTGATCCTCAGATCTCAGCCTCCTCAATAGCTAGGATTACAGGTGTGAGCCACTGGTGCCCAGCTAAGGTTTTGTGGGGGGTTTTTTTGGTCCAGTTATGAGGCCTGAACTCTGGGCCTGGGCGCTGTCCCTCAGCTCTTCAGCTCAAGGCTGGCACTCTACCACTTGAGCCACAGCACCACTTCTGGCTTTTTTTCTTTTTGCTTATGTGGTGCTGAGGAATCGTACCCAGGACCTCATGCATGCAAGGCAAGCACTCTACCACTGAGCCAATTTCCCAGCCCAAGGTTTTGTTTTTAACAAGGTGTTTACTTCACTTTTTTGTGGTGTTTCAAATATATTAAGTGTACAAATTAATGGCTTTTATTAGTTTCTGAGTTCTATATTAGGACTGGTAGGGATGAATAAAATGTGTGAGCACAGCCGGGCGCTGGTGGCTCACGCCTGTAATCCTAGTTACTCAGGAGGCTGAGAGCTGAGGGATGGAGTTGAGTTTGTGACTCTTGTCTCCAATTAACCACCAAAAAAATGGGAAGTGGCACTATGACTCAAAGTGGTAGAGCCTTAAGCACAAAAGCTCAGGGTTAGCACCCAGGCCCCAAATTTAAGACCCACAACCAACAACAACAAAGTGTGAGCACCAAAATCAAAAGTGAAATACATGTCATGAGGTTTCATGGGCGAAAGATGCTCTGGATACTATTCAACGTGAGCAACAAAAAAGAGGAATGAATGCACACTGCATTTGTAATCACCCCAAAGGAAGCGGTAAGTCAACCAACTCTAGCTAAGAGTTTGTTAGCACCAGAAATAGCTGAAAGGGTTTAAAATGCGCAACCAATTGATTGCACGGCCCTTCCAAGCCAAACATAGGTAACTGGGGAGACACCTAAATTGGAGACAGAATAAAACCATTTAATGGAATTTGGTTGGACAGTTCCCAAGAATATGATTCCCCACTCCTCCCCCAAGCTTTGGCCAGGTCTAGGGCTTAAACACAAGGCCTGAGCACTGTCCCTGAGCTTCTTTTGCTCAAGACTAGCACTCTACCACTTGAGTCACAGCACCACTTCTGGCTTTTTCTGTTTATGTGGTACTGAGGAATCAAACCCAGGGCTTAATGCAAGGTAGGCAAGCACTCTACCACTGAGCCACATGCCCAGCCGCAAGGACATGATTTAAATTAATTATATTCAAATCCATGTACTAATTGACAACAAAAGGCTGGAAAGGGGCTGGGCACCAGTGACTCATGTCTGTAATCCTAGATATTCAGGAGACTGAGGACCAAGGTTCAAAGTCAACCCAAACAGACAGTCCAAGGGGCTCCAATTAACCAGCAAAAACTCAGACTGAAGCCATGGCTCAAGTAGTAGTGCTATGAGTAAGCAAGCCATGCAAAAATTTGAAGCTCTGGAACAGGCAATAAATAAATGTGCAAAGAATTTCATATAAGGCAGTACTGAATCAGCCTACCCCACCAAATGCATAGTGGTGAAATGGACTGGCATTGGAATGGTGACTCTAGAATCTACTAGATATGTGATCATTGGCAAATTATTTAATATTGCCTGCCTCTTGCTCCACCCATTTAACTTGGGGTAATACCCACATTACTGATGGTAACTGTGCAATGCTGTAAATTAATAACAAACAAATCACTCAAGTGAACATTTAAAACTGGTCGATTTTATGATATGTAAATTATCTCAAAACTTTTTTTAAAAACAGTACTCACATCAACAAATGCTGCGAAAACAAATGTAAACTGTCCGTTGTGCCAGGCACACAGTAAATAATCAATAAATATTAGTAATTATTAATAGTGTTGATATTAATAAAAACATTACTGATAGCAACTGTGCAATGCTGTAAATTAACAACAAATCACTCAACTAAACATTTAAAATGTCTATTTTATGATATGTAAATTATCTCAATAAAGATTTCTTTAAAAAACTACTCACAACAAATGCTGTGAAAACAATGTAAACTGTCAGTTGTGCCAGACACACAGTAAATAATAAATATTAGTAATTAATAGTGTTAAGGTTAATAAAAATAGAACAATGAAAATATATAAAGTTAGTGTTTTTAAAAAGGACTTACTGGGCTGGGTGAAACATGAGTTTCAACTGCTTTCATGTTAGATGAGACCATACGGTGGCCAGCAGGTGGAGGGCCCCATTCACTGTGCCACTCCCACACCACACACACACACACCAGGCCTGCTAGAGTCCCGCCAGTGCAATCCCTACACTACCCTCCTTCTCAAAGATGGAAACCTGAGAAATGGAGGCTGTTTCCTTTAGGAAGGACTAACCCACAGAACAGAGACCATGGAGGCATATTGAACAGGTCACATGAGACTGTCACATCTTGGTCTACCAGCCAGGGTCCCAGCGGTGAGCTTAAGTGCTTTGGCAAGGCTTTGTTAGTCAGGTGAACCAGCTCATCACCATGGCCAGGAACCTGGCAGATGTGAGCTGCTCTGTCCTCTGCTACTTTCACACGAGATCTCCACGCAGCCATTCGCACTGGGACCACAAGTAGATCCTGCAGAATTCTTGGGAACAGTCTGCCTGAGCAGCCCAGAGGTAGGAATAGCGGCTTAAGAATCTTTTCTACCTCGTGTCTTTCTTACCTATCAGGCAAGGAGATAACTGGCCCTTCTGGACTCTACAGATTTAACTTACAATCCTATAAACTGCTGGCCAATTTCTTCATGACACCCTCTTCAGATGGATGGAAAGCCTTGCAGGGATGAGCTATGAGATGATCCATGCGTCCTGCTTTTCCATTAATGCTGCCATCCTTTTTGTTGTTGTGCTGGTTCTTTTACTTTGTCCACTCAAGGCTGAGGCTCTGCCACTTAGGCCACAGCTCCACATTCAGCTTTTTGGTGGTTAGAGATTTTCGTGCTCAAGTTGGCTTTGAACTCCCAATCCTTAGAACGCCCAGCCTCCTGAGTAGCTAGGATTATAGGCGTGTGCCGCTAGTGGCCACCTTTAAGGGAACTTTCCAGCAGCTGGAAGATTTTGAAGTTAACAAAAGCTTACTAAATTCCTCCAAAAATAAACAAATGGACAGGAGAATGAGGTGTACACTCTAGGTCATGACCTCAGTAGGTACCATCCAATGAGCCAACTTCCTAATTCTTTGGAGGTGGAAAAGCCTGTCTCCCCCCTCCCCCCACTTCTCACAAAGCTCAACAATTCAGCTAGACGGCAGATACACACCCCTAGGGTTACAAGATCCATGAAGGCGGGACAGAGGAAGGGGAGGAAAGAGGGACAGTGGGGAATTAAGGCCTGAAACAACTTTCGTGATTTAACTCAGTATATTGAAACCTCTCAGTTAATAAAAGTGCCTTATTTTTTCAACCAACTGTGAAAACAATGGTGAAAAGACAGTTTTTTTCTGTCCATTCGGGTGATCTGAAGATAGACCTGAACGGGAGGACAGATGACAAATACTAAGTCTGACTTCCGACTCTCCACCGCACCTTTCCAGTTTTCTAGATCACTCCATAGAGTGAACACTCTGATGCCGAAGGAGGTGAGAACTCCGGCTAAAGGTCTTTTGGCACTCTTGACACTCGTAAGGCTTCTCGCCAGTGTGAATTCTCTGATGCATGATAAGCTGGGAATGCTGGCTGAATGTTTTCTCACACTCCGTACATTCATAAGGTTTCTCTCCAACATGGATTTTCTGATGGAGCAGCAGCTCAGAATGATCCCAAAAGGTTCTTGCACACTCATTACACTGATGAGGTTTCTCTCCGGTATGAATGCGCTGGTGGACGATGAGGTGGGAGGTGCGCCTGAAAGCCTTTCCGCACTCGAAGCACTCATAGGGCTTCTCTCCTGTGTGAATTCTCTCATGTCGAAGCAGTTCCGAGTTCCCCCTGAAGGCCTTCCCACATTCTTTACACACATAGGGCTTCTCACCAGTATGGATTCGAATATGTCTAATAATCTCCGAGTTCTGGCCAAAAGTTTTCCCACACTCATTGCATTCATAGGGTTTGTCCCCCGTATGGATTCTTTGATGGCGGATAAGCTCAGAACTCTGCCCAAAGCCTTTCCCACATTCATTGCACAGATACGGTTTTTCTCCAGTGTGAATCTTCTGATGTCGAATGAGGCCTGAGCTATGCTTGAAGGCTTTGCCACACTCGTGGCACTCATGATATCTTTCTTCGGTATGAATTCTTTGATGCTGAATAAGCTGAGAGCTAACCCTAAAGGTCTTCCCACATTCATTGCACTCGTAAGGCTTCTCTCCAGTGTGGATTCTCTGGTGGAGAATCAGGGCTGAGTTCTGACTGAAGGCTTTACCACATTCTTCACACTTATAGGGTCTCTCTCCCGTATGAATTCTATGATGGTGGATGAGATGTGAACTCTGGATGAAGGCCTTCCCGCATTCATTGCAAGCAAAGGGCTTCTCGCCAGCATGAATTCTCAGGTGTCTTCGAAGGCTGGAGTTGGTTCCAAATGGCTTCCCACACTCTTTGCACTCGAAGGGTTTCTCTCCACTGTGAACTCTCATATGCTGGATGAGATGGGAGTTCTGATTAAAGGCTTTTCCACATTCTTTACAGGTGTGTGGCTTTTCTCCCACAGAAGTCCTTAGTGTTTCACTAAGTTCTAGACTACTCACTGTGAAGTTTTGACTGGAGGCAGCAAATGTACCAACCCTCTCTGCTGTAGAACTTTCTTGATGTGCCACAAGACTCGGGATGGGGCTACAGACTGTCTCCCTCTTGCTGTTCTCTGGCTCTTTCTCACTCGAGGGAGATGACTGAAAGACAACTGGCTCTGATGTAAAGTCTCTCTGTTGGGGAGACATGTGCTCTATAATCTCTTGTGAGGACTCCCTCAAATGCCTCTCCAACATGTCATCCTCACAGGATGTTTTAAACTTGTGACCTTGGTAAGCCACTTTTGCAAATTTCTCTAATGGTGGCCTGTGTGACTCAGTTTCTTCGGAGATTTCTTCCTTGGGAATCACCTTTCTCTCAGTCCCCATCTCACAATCTGAAATGAGAAAAGAGTCAGTACATGAAATGGCTGTATCCTATCTAATTAGCCAGAGTAGTACTTGCTTGGACACGGTGCTGGAGAAACTCAAAGACAGTCCTGGCATCTGGTACAATGAATGACAGGAAGGAGCTGGAGCAGACAGCATGGTGGACGTGCTAGAGGGCAGATGCTGACTGAAAAGGGGAAAAGTATCAGAGGCAGAGATTTAAAGACAGCAAGAGGAAATGGATGATAAAGAGGTGCTGCTAAAAGTTCCGTAACTTTTAGGAGTCAGTTGGGGTAGAATTGGATGTTGCTAATATCACAAAACATTTAGGTAAATGATGGCAATACTGAGAGATGAATATATGGAAAAAGGGCGAGAGAAGGAACAAAAATGACAAAAATGAATTAAAGTCCTCAGATCTCAGCCTCCTGAGTAGCTAGGATTATATCTTTTGAGTTTACACATAAAGTACCCACAAAATGAATAGTAAAAAGATGGGCACCAGTGGCTCACACCTGTAATCCTAGCTGCTCAGGAGGCTAAGAGCTGGGAATCGAGGCTCGAAGCCAGCACAGGCAGACAAAACTGTGAGACTCTTATCTTCAATTAAACAGCTAAATGCCGGAAATGAGGGAGGGTAGAATGCCAGCCTTGAGTGGAAAAAGCTAATAAATAAGAGTACAAAGCCCTGAGTTCAAGCCCCAGGACCAGCAAAAAAAGAAAAAAGTAGTAATAAAAAAGTAATGAGAATTTATTCTTAGTCTAGCTCTGTGATTTTTTCACTAGCTCTGTGGACCAGGGCACTATATATAGTTGTTACTCATTCAAAATGTGACTCTAATTAATTTCCTACATTTTAATAAAGTCAGAGTCTGGCTTTTATTTTCTCCAGATGGCTTCTAAATTTTATCAGTACAATCGACTAAATAATTCTCTTTCCTACTGATTTTAAGTAGCAGGGTGCCGGTGGATCACACCTGTAATCCTAGCTACTCAGGAGGCTGAGATCTGAGGACTTTAATTCAAAACCAGCCTCAGTAAGAAAGTCCATGAGGTTCTTTTTTTTTTTTTTTTTTTTGGGGGGGGGGGTCTGGTCATGGGGCCTGAACTCTTGGCCTGGGTGCTGTCCCTCAGCTCTTCAGCTCAAGGCTAGCACTCTACTACTTGAGCCACAGCGCCACTTCCGGCTTTTTTCTTTTTTCTTATGTGGTGCTGAGGAATCGAACTCAGGGCCTCATGCATGCAAGGCAAGCGCTCTACCACTGAGCCACCTTCCCAGCTCCATGAGGTTCTTATCTTCAATTAATCACAAGAAAAAGCCAATTTCCAACCCAACATGTATTCCTGCCCCATCTTCTTACAACAAAATAATGAATTAATCTGGAGTGGCAATGAGCCTAGCTACAAAATAATACAGAACTCAACTTCCTTTGCAGCTGGGTTTGACCATGTGACCAAATGGTGGCCAATGAGAGAGTGAAATACAAATAAAAGTATACTGAATACTGGGAAGGCTCAGAGCAGGAAGGGATACATTTCTTCCCTCTTTCCCTGTTGTTTCTTGGGCACAGTGTGATTGACAGCTGGAGTACCATCTTGGATCATGAGTACACAAATACTCTAGGATCAGGAATCAGAGCTAGAGGAACCAGGGCTCCTGGTGACTTCCTGCCTCCACACTTCTTTTAGAAGGAAAAAAAAAAGAAAAAAAGCTTTTGCTTTGTTGAAGCCATTATGGGTTAGTTTGTTGTTGTTGTTTTGCTTTGTATTAAGGCAAACTGATTCCTAATACAACTTTCCTGGGAATTCAGCAGTCCACAACAAATGATGGGGAAATATGCCTGACCTTTTACTCAGGATGCAAGCAACCTAAAGTGACTCTTTGATTAGATTGGTGTCTTTGCAAACCACAGCAACACTGAGGAATATAATAATTCCACAAATAACAGTATTAGCTGTGGAAGAAGAAAGTCATGGCGGGGATGGGCAGGGATGGACTTCATTTAGTCAGTGCTAAACATGGTATGGTTTTATTTTATTCTATGTTTCTGTGTGAATTTTTTTTATTAATAAGTTTTTTTAATTGTGAAAATACCTTACAGAGGGGTTACAATTACATGAGCAAGGTAATGAGTACATTTCTTATCAAGCATTGTTGTCTCCTCCTTTGTTTCCCCTTCCCATCCATTCCCCGCCTCTCCCCCCCGACCCCCCAACGTATGGTTTTAAAGCAAGAATGATGAAGTCTCTGGTCAGACAAGCATTTCAAGTAGATACACACTAATAACCATTTAGTTTCTGAACAAGACAGCTGTGGGTGTGACACAGAAATCAGCAGCTGAAGCAACCATCAAGATGTGATACAATCTAACCAGGGCATGAAGAGGAAACAGACTGGAGGCCAAGCTTTGCAAGATCTGGTGTGACTGTTTATAACATGTAAAGAAGAGGGAGAAGCCAATGATATCCAAGTCTTCCTGGGCTATGTCCCTCAGCTCTTCAACTCAAGGCTAGCGCTCTACCACTTGAGCCACAGTGCCACTTCCAGTTTTTTCTGCTGAGGAATCAAACCCAGGGCCTTATGCACGCAAGGTAAGCACTCTACCATTGAGCCACCTTCCCAGCCTCAAATGTTTCTTATAGAATCAAAGAAAATACTTAAAAGGTAATGTTTTAGGCTTAAAAGTTTGATTTCAATTACAGATGGTTTGAGAGTTCCTGTTACTGATAATTTAGTTATGTATACTTATAAGTTCTTCCTTTATTATCTTAAAAGATATACTTTAGCAATGGCTCCCATCTGTTTCATGTTGATATTTTAGATTGCCACATCATAGAAAAGCAAAGAAAATTCCTGGTGAAGGCTAAGTTACAGTATGTATTTCATAACTGGTGACTTAAAGCTATGTCGCTCCCAGCTATTAGTTGACACTTAAGTAAATCATATTCTGAATACCATTTGTTCACCTTTCAGACTAGGTGATGCTGGACACGTCATGTAAATAACACTAACTAGGATCTTGTAAGTGTATAACTGTCCTAAGCCCATCACTGTGGCACACTGTATAATGACTTATAGTTTGAGTATTCATCTTGTGGAAATATTAAAAAACTTATGCTTGTGTAAGTGAAAAATCACATTCTTTTTTTTTTTTTTGTCATGGGGCTTAAACTCTGGGCTTGGGCGCTGTCCTTGTGCTCTACAGCTCAAGGCGAGCGCTCTACCACTTGAGCCACAGCACCACTTCCCTTTTTTAAAAATATGTAAAGCTATTTTGTAGAGACTCAGTACTTTTCCAATGCACTGTTATATTAATGCATTAAAAATTGTAAAGTACCATGCTTAGAAATGAGAAAACTGCTTTTTGTGAGCCATCATAGTAAAAACAAAACAAAACACACCAAAGTACAAAGCTGCTTTTGTTAAGTGTGTAGATGTCAAGATCAGAACGTATCTATATTTAATATATGTGAACAGCTACTGTGACACTGAAAAGAAAGGATTGTGCAGAATCAAACTGCCTTAAAGACCAATGGAAAGCATATAATTTAACTTGGATTTAGGCAGGAAGTGAAAGATGGGGAGTAAACTGCTCTGAAGAATTTTTCATGAAGATCTTAATACATATATGTACTGGTTTCATATGGTGAGAGCAGTAGCAACTTGAACCAAGTACTCTTGAGTAGATGAGGCAGAAGATCAGCATATTTGGCAATGCTTTCTTTGGTTTAAGAAAAACAAACCACCCCCACCTGGCACAAGTTGATGTTTTTTACAAGGGTGGCCCTCAGAAAAAAGGTATAGTAAAGAGAAAAGAAGTCACTTCTAATCTAAGAATTGCAGTTGGTACATATAGATTTGTGTGCTAATACTCAGATTTGCTTTTCAGGATTTATAGTGCAAGGTACTAGTGCACACTTGTTAATATTTCATTACTACTTCTCTAGCACAGAACTAACATGTCACATTTAAAGACCTGTTGAGAAGGGACTTTTTAGAGATAACTTGGTAAGGATTTTTTTTTTTTTTGGTCGGTCATGGGGCCTGAACTCTGGGTCTGGGCACTGTCCCTCAGCTCTTTAGCTCAAGGCTAGCGCTCTACCACTTGAGCCACAGTGCCATTTCCAGCTTTTTCTGTTTATGAGGTACTGAGAAATGGAACCCAGGGCCTCATACATGCAAGGCAAACACTCTACCACTGAGCCACCTTCCCAGCCCATATTAGAATACTTTTTAAGGAAAAAACTTGGTTGAAAATGAATCATGTTGGGTTATTTGAAATTCTAAGTTTAATTGTGCTGCCCATATATGAAGATGAGACTGCTAATAACACCATCTATGGACATGCAGTTTGTTGTTTTCTTAGTAGTAAGAATGAATTCACAGTAACCCCAGTTCTCTTGCCTAATTTCTCTTTTGAAGCTAGTTGGGTTTAGGATTAGTCTGAATGTGGAGCAGATACTTGTTTTTCTGGGAAAAGCTAACAACAGGTCAGAAGAGGGATTAAACATATCCTAGGCCTTTAACCAAAAGAGCTAATTGCTCTAGCAATTATCTGGCTACTGTCGCTGATATCACCGTAGCTGTAATGATTATTTCAAAGCTCATTCTTTCATATTTTCTAGCTTCCAGTCCTACCTAAGTATCAAGGAGATTTGACTTGTAAATGTGGTAGCTGTTTACTAAGGATATGTACTCCTCTTGCAAGGAAATAATGTCCAAACAAAGCTTCACTTATTTTTTTTTAATATAAGCAGGTTTCACTGTTTCATGGTGCTTATGTAATACATTTATCTTTTTAAGAGAATTATTTGTGTAAAAGTCAGGATTCCTTTATATTTGCAAGCGTCCTCATCCCCTTTCCTAAGGTGCAATGGTTCCAGATCTACGGGGTAGTCCCAACTGACTAAAAACAAATCAATTTGGACATAATTCATTATTATAGGGTTCTTCATTTTAAAAGCTTTAAAACTGCAGCATTAAGTATAAATGAAAGTTACTGACAACAGGTACCTCCCTAACCTCCCCAAATGTATTACTCATTTATGAAGTATTCAAGTTAAGAGGTAACTCAAGCAGAATGCTGGTTTTGAATGTAGATGATGAAGCTACTAATAAACACTGGAAATACTAAGAAAAAAAAAAAGTGGCGCTGTGGCTCAAAGTGGTAGAGCACTAGCCTTGAGAGTTCAAGCCCCAGGACCAAAAATAATCTTTATGATTAGAAATGAGAACACACTGGGCCAGATGCAGTGTCACATACCTATAATCCTAGCACTCAGGAGGCTGAGGAAGAAGGAGCTTCAATTTGAGGAGCTTGCTATATAACATGGCCAGTCACAATAGAGAGAGACAAAAACAGAGAAACAAAAAAAGAGAAAAATTAAATGAAAATATTTTAGATGTAAATATACAATTAAATGAGAGGATACAAATACTTTCATTTTGTGGGCTGGTGGAGCAAAGAAGGATTCCAGTGATTTTGCTACTTTATAGGAGATCTTACCTTACCCAAAATCTCCAGGAGTGTGCTCCAGCCAATTTAGCACAGACAGAGAAGTTCCATCTCTCTTGCATGTGACTGGTTCACAAAGAGCAGGGATTTAGGAATTCCAGGTTCAGACGAGGACATCTGCTTCAACAGGGTCAACATTTTGAGGATTTTTGCCAGGAGCATCTGGAACTACTCTCCTGCCATCCTGAGAGAATCACAGGATGACACTTCTGTACCCTGCTGCCTGGACCTGCTGCTGCCATGTCAGAGCTAGAAAGAAAGAAAGAGAGAGACAGAGAGAGGGAGGGAGGAAGGGAAGAAGGGAGGGAGAGAGAGAGGAAGAGAGAGGAAAAAGTCAAGGGGAAATAGAGCCAAGATCAAGAGCCAAGATGAAGTCAAGCCTAACATTTATGATAGTTTATATACTTGGTTTTTTTTGTTGTCATTTTTTTTTTGTCAGTTATGGGGCCTGAACTCTGGGCCTGGGCACTGTCCCTAAGTTCTTCAACTCAAGGGCTAGTGCTCTACCACTTGAGCCACAGTGCCACTTTTGACTTTTTCTGCTTATGTGGTGCTGAGGAATCGAACTCAGGGCCTCATGCATGCAAGGCAAGCACTCTACCACTGAGCCACCTTCCCAGCCCACTTGCTTTGTTTTATGCTAGGGATCAAACCCAGGACCCTGCTAGGCAAGAACTGAGCTACAATTACAATCCAAATCCTTTTCTTCCCTTCTTTCCTTCCTTCCTTCCCTCCTTTTATTATTATTTTTTCAGTGCTAGGAATGGAATCCAGGGTGTCTGAATACGAGTAAACCATCTTGAGTTGGATTCTGTTACTTACAGAGGAAATGTTAACTATGCCAATCAAGGGTGATGGCCAAGGGTGATGTATAATTCTTGCTACTCAGGAGGCTGAGATTGAGAGAATCATGGCTCAAGGCCAACCTAGGCAAAAAGTCAAAGACTCCTATCTCAAAAAATAAAAAGCTGGTACCTGTCATCCCAGTTATGCAGGAAGTACAAATAGAAAGATCATGCCAGGCACTGGTGGCTCATGTCTGTAATCCTAGCTACTCAGGAGGCTGAGATCTGAGGATCATGGATCAAAGCCAGTCCAGGCAAACAAATCTGAAGTTTACTAAACTACACCTCCAAATTAACCAATGAACTATCTTATCTCAATTAACCAGCAAAAAGCCAAAACTGGCCAGGTGCCAGTGGCTCATGCCTATAATCCTAGCTACTCAGGAGGCTGAGATCTGAGAATCGAGGTTCAAAGCCAGTCCGGGCAGGAAAGTCGGTGAGACTCTTATCTACAAGAAACCACCAGAAAACCTTAAGTGGTACTGTGGCTCAAGTGGTAGAGCATTAGTCTTGCACTGAAGAGCTGAGGGACAAGGCCCAACCACCACCACCACCAACAAAAAGCCAAAACTGGAAGTGTTGCAGAAGTGGTAGAGAGCTGGTCTTCAGGAAAAAAGTGAGGCCCTGAGGTCAATCCCCAGTGCGAACACACATACACACGGATGATTAGCATCCAGGTTGGCCCAAGTAAATGCAAGAACCTATATGAAAAAGCTGGGAATGTAGCTTAATGGTAGAGTGCTTGCCTAGCATGCATGAAGCCCTGGGTTTGATTCCTCAGTACCACATACACAGAAAAAGCTGGAAGTGGTGCTGTGGCTCAAGTGGTAGAGTGCTAGTCTTGAGCACAAGAAGCTCAGGGACAGTGCCCAGGCCCTGAGTCCAAGGCCCAGGATTGGCAAAAAAGAAAGAAAAATAGCAAAAGTATAAAGGCCCAGGGTGGTGGTTCAAGTGGTAAGAGCACCTGCTTGTCTGGCAAGCACAAGTTTAAACCATATTATCCCACCACCGCCAAAAAAGAAAATAATAACCTTAACAGACTACAGACCCTTTCCCTTAACTTCTGAAAGGCCAAGAGGGTATCTGTACCAGAGACTCATCTGATACATAGACCACCTCCATCTCAGATTCTTCACTAGCATCCGCAGGAAGAAGGTTCCCTCTTGGCCCTCTGAATCAGCATTTCATTGGCTCTTTTCTTACCTCTTCCTTTATAATCTCTTTTTCCATACCACTTCCTAGTTATTGCTCCCTTAGGCCTTCACTTCTTCATGGGGCTCATAATGCCCTGGTGGTAAGCCTTGTTTCCCTTCTCCATCTCCTATCTCAAAGTCTCCAAAAACAAGAGGAAATTCCATTTGAAGTGACTTGCAACCCAAATATTTCCTTTTCGCAGTGCGGGGGGGGGGGGGGGGGGGGGGGGGTTCATGGGGTTTGAACTCTGGCCCTGGGCATTGCCCTAAGCTCTTCAGTTCATGGCTAGTGTTCTACCACTTTGAGCCACAGCACCACTTCCAGTTTTCAGATTTTCCTGTCTGGGCTGCCTTTGAACTGTGTTCCTCAGATCTCAGCACTCGGCTTTTGTTGGTGGTGGTGGTAGTTGTGGAACTTGAACTCAGGGTATGGACACTGTTCATGAGTTGTTTTACTACCAATTTAGCCACAGTATCACTTTCAGTTTTTGAGTGCTTAATTGCAGGTAAGAGTTTCACAGGAAGTTTTCTGCCTGGGCTGGCTTTGAACCGTGATCCTCAGATCTCAGCCTCCTGAGTAGCTAGGATTACAGGCGTGAGCCATAGGTGCCCAGCTTTCCTTTTTTTTTTTCTTGTTGCAAGTTCTGTGGCTTGAACTCAGGATCTGTGCATTGTCCCTAAGCTTTTTTGCTCAAGGACAGACCTCTAACCACTTGAGCCACAGCTCCATTTGTGGGTTTTTTTTGTCTTTTTTTCTCTTTTTTTTTTTTATTGTGAAAATACTGTACAGAGGGGTCACAATTACATGGGCAAGACAATGAGTACATTTCTTATCAAGCATTGTAGCCTCCTCCTTTGTTTCCCCTTCCCATCCCTTCCCATCCTCCCCCCCCCCCCCACCAAACTTGTAAAGTTCATTTTTATTTGTGGGTTTTTTTGGTTGTTTATTGAAGAGTCTAATGTACTTTTCTGCCCCAGCTCCTTCCATCTGCAATCATCATCAGCTCCCAGCCTCCTGAGTAGCTAGTATTAGCAGCATGATTTCTTATTCTTTATAAAGTTTCTTTGCCTTTGAGAACAAATTAGTCTCTTTTCCTGGAATATTATTGTCCACCTTTTGCAACATGTATAGTCTCCATTTTCTTCCTGACCATAGTCCCTAAAACAGACAGACTTCAGCAGCAAATAGTCATGCCACTGTACTGTTAGTTTACATACACTTCTATTTTCTTCTCTAGACCACGTCCAAGGATGATGTTCCATTCATTTTGGTATTCCCAATGTATACTAGGTGTTTGTTAAGTGAATTTGTATGGCTTATCTACATAACACATTTTCCATTTATTGGAATAAAATCTCCTACAACTGTCAGATGTCAGTGGTTCAGGCCTGTGAGCCTAGATCAGGAGGACTGCAGTTCAAGGTCAGCTCAAACAGAAAAGTTTACTAGACTCCATCTCCAAAATAGCCAGCAAAGGGGGCTGGGAAGGTGGCTCAGTGGTAGAGTGCTTGCCTTGCGTGCATGAGGCTCTGGGTTCGATTCCTCAGCACCCAAAAGCAAAAAGAAAAAGCCAGAAGTGGCGCTGTGGCTCAAGTGGTAGAGTGCTAGCCTTGAGCTGAAGAGCTGAGGGACAGCGCCCAGGCCCAGAGTTCAGGCCCCACGACCAGACCAAAAAAAAAAAAATTTATACAAAATAGCCAGCAAAAAACAGAGGGGTGGCTCTAGTAGTAGAGTGCCAGCCTCACAAGTGCAAGGCCCTGAGTTCAAACCCCAGGACTGAACTTCTATACTTTTCAGGGCTAACTGAAGATTTCATTCATTTTGCACCTTAAGAGCCCAAGACAGTATCTGACACACAGCTGATGTCCATGTTCATTTATAAAACAAGTTATTTATCCTATCAGTGATATTTAAAGTGCTATTCCATTCCTGTGCCCTTTCTTTGGTACCCACAATCAAAAGATTTCTATTAACTCTTTTCCACAACTGCATCTCAGTATCCTGTCTGGGAGTACAGGACTCAATCTGGCACAGGGGCGTTAACCTTTACCTATCATTTGGTCCCAGAGGTTTAGCTGGGGATGGAACTGTTGGGGGGGAGGGGACGGACCACGTTTCCGTAAGTCCCCACATCGGGTTCAGCGTCTCCAGTTCCTGCAGTTGACAGGTATCGAATCACAGCTGACAGTCCCCAGGATCCACCATCTCGGCTTGCAAATGGGTAAATGGAGGCCGGAGGAGGGGGAGCGGGCAGACAGAGAAATGTCCAAGGTCACACAGCAAACTCGGGCCAGGAATGGGCCTAAATTTAGGGCTCCCGCTTAGCTCCAGGACTGGGGAAGCAGGGATATCCAGCGCCTTCTCCCCCACCACCGACCCCTGCCCAGACGGAATGAGATCTCACCGTTGGCCGCTACGGCCCCACACTCACTCGGCCGGGGCTCCCAGTGCCTCTCTGCTGCCGCACACAGCCCACGGCCATCGCCTCGGTGTCGCGGGCGACGCGCCGGCCACTTCCGGTACCCGGGAGGCGCTGCAGCCAATCAGCACACTCCAGGCGGCGCTGCAGCCAATCAGCGCACGCCGCTCTCGCCAAGGCGCAGGTGGTCGGCTGGCCGCTGCCGCTCGCCCTTCCCAGAGTCGCTTCCCACCGCTCTCACCCGGACTCCGGGGGACCCCTCGGGCCCCGGCCCCGCCGAGCGGATTCCCCGGAACGCCCCAGTGCTCGGGGCCATGCCCACCTCAACCCCGGGACCACCGACGAGCTGGGTCCTCCGGGTGTCCTAGAGGGGCTCCGGGGATGTACTTCCGCCCCGCCAGCCGCTCCGCGCTCCAGCCGCTCTCCCGAGCGCTGCTGCGGATGATCCGAGGAGCGGGGATGGCTCCGCTTTCCACGGGCCCTTCCACCCCCTCACTCCCTTCCCCGGGTTCCTGGAAGACACGCGGGCCTCTAGAGCCTAAAGACAGGTGGGTGGTCCGGAGAGACCCGCCCCGAGATGGGCAGGAGCGAGCCGCAGGGGGTGCGGGCGGGACCCCGGCCGCCAGCTGAGCGTGAGTTCCCCGGGCCGGGAGCCAGGGAGAGAGCTGTACAGGCCATTGTGCTCTGGTTCTTACTTCTCCTTTGAACAAGCCTGGCCTGTTCGTGCCTAAGAATCTTTATGACTGTTCCTTCGCTGTTTCTCTGCGAGTGGGGGTGGATAAGGAGCAGGGGCTTGAACTCAGGGTCTGAGCGCTGTCCCTGGGCTTTTTTGCTGAAGGCTGGCACTCCTGCCACTTCAGTTCCATTTGTGGAGTCTTAGTGGTTAATTGGAGATAAGCATCTCAAGAACATTTCTGTCCCCAACTAACTGGCTTGGAGCATGGAACCTCAGATCTCAGCTTCCTGAATAGGGATTGCAGGCATGAGTCACAGGTGCCCAGCCCCAGAGGTCTTTAATGCATACCAGCTTGTTTTCCCATTTCCTACATCTCCTATTTCAGCTTTCTTCACTCTGCTCAGGTCTTTCTCTAAGCCATGATCCAAGAAGAGTCAATTACCTTCACAATCTTGCATCTGCATTCATCTCTAGGAAGTGCCCAGACTACCTTAAAACCAAGAATGGAAGACAGTTGGGTCTACTGATTTTATCTAGTACACTTGACTCTAGCTCCTAAAACCAGTTCTCCTCAGTGGTGGCTATATATTAGAACCATTTAGGAATCTAAAGAGTACAGAGTTCTAATGTTGTCAAGGGAATCCTAGTGACTAGAATTCCTCTGGGAAATCCTATGCTGGCATGAAGATGAGCCACCTTCAGGAACCCCGAGACCAATAGACTCACCTTCCAGGAGGAAGACTTATTTCCATATGCATTTGTGTTTGATACCTAACATACATACATTTACCCTTGGAATATTGTTGTAAATTCTGAGTAAATTCTCCTAACAACCCACACAAATGTATTATCCAGTAGCATACTTTGCAACAAACAGCAAAAAAACAATACCATGCATTGTTTTATGCCAATAATACTAGTCATAAACCAAAGGGAAAGTGAGTGAAACACATGGTATTTATCTTGAGTGCCAAGGCTGAGTAAATAGAATGAGGTTAGAAGAATGTCAGGGGGAGTTGAGCACCTGGAGGTTCACACTTGTAATCCTAGCTGCTTAGTAGGCTTGAGAACCGGAGGATTATTATTTGAGGCCAGCCTAAAAAAAGTTATCGGAAAAAGTTCTTTAGACCCTTTTCCAACCCATAGTTGGCAGGGTAATACATGCCTGCCATCCCAAACTACATGAGATTGCAAGAGCAAGACCATTTTCAACAAAAAAAGTCCTCAAGAACTCCATCTCCACAGAAGGAAGTTGGACAGAATGGCACTTGCCTGTCATCTCAGTGATGATGGAAAACCTAAAGTAGGAGAATTGCAACTCAGGCACCCATGAGTGGGGAGGGGGAGAGGGGGCAAGAACCTGTCCCAAAAAGAACAGTAGAAAATAGAACTGAAGAGGCTGGGAACATGGCTTAGTGGTAGAATGCACACCTAGCATTCATGAAGCCCCAGGTTCGATCCTCAGTTCCACATAAACAGAAAAAGCCAGAAGTGGCTCAAATGCTAGAGCACTAGCCTTGAGCAAAAGGAGCTCAGGGACAGTGCCCTGAGTTCAAGCTCCAGGACTGGCAAAAAGAAAATAGGATTGAAGGCATGACTCAGATGGTAGCAGCGTACCAGCCTAACAAGTCCAAGGTCCAGAGTTCAAACCCTAGTTCTACCAAAACAAATAAACAATATGAAAAGGGAAGATGGAGTTAATCGGGGCACCATTTTCTTTTCTTTTTTTTTTTTGGGTCCGGTCATCGGGCCTGAACTCTGGGCCTGGGCACTGTCCCTCAGCTCTTCAGCTCAAGGCTAGCGCTCTACCACTTGAGCCACAGCGCCACTTCTGGCTTTTTTCTTTTTGCTTATGGGGTGCTGAGGAATCGAACCCAGGGTCTCAGGCATGCAAGGCAAGTGCTCTACCACTGAGCCACCTTCCCAGCCCCGGGGCATCATTTTCTGCATTCTGAGAAAAGTTCTAAGGGTTAGTACTCTCTTTTCACCCCAGAATCCAAGGATATCTGTTCTCCTAGGATTTTCTCTTTGGCTCACCACCAAATTTAACAGTGTAACTTATATTTGCCCTGATTCTTTTTTTTTTTTTTTGGGTCCGGTCATGGGGCCTGAACTCTGGGCCTGGGTGCTGTCCCTCAGCTCTTCAGCTCAAGGCTGGCGCTCTACCACTTGAGCCACAGCGCCACTTCTGGCTTTTTTTTTTTTTCATTTTGCTTATGTGGTGCTGAGGAATCGAACCCAGGGTCTCAGTCATGCAAGGCAAGCGCTCTACCACTGAGCCATCTTCCCAGCCCTGCCCTGATTCTTATCCTGGGTTCACTGAAGAATTACCTGGGAAGCTTCAAAAATTATCTGCATGGCCAGGGGCCAATGGCTCATGCCGTAATCCTAGCTACTCAGGAGGCTGAGATCTGAGAATCACAGTTCAAAGGCAGCCTGGGCAGGAAAGTCAGTGAGACTCTTATCTCCAATTAACCACCAGAAAACCGGAAGTGGCACTGTGGTAGGGGGCTCACCTTGAGCTGAAGCTCAGGGACAGTGCGCAGGCCCAGAGTTCAAGCCCCACAACTGACCAAAATGTGTGTGTGTGTGTGTGTGTGTGTGTGCGCGCGCGCGCATGGATGTCAGTCTGCAAGGGTATCACAGACTGGACAACCTCAACAACAGAACATTCATTTGCTCACAGTTCTGGAGGCTGAAGTCTGAAACCAAGGTGTTGGCAGGTGTGGTTTCTCCTGAGGCCTCTCCTCTTGTCTTGCAGATGGCCATCTCCACACTGTGTCCTCGCAAGCCTTTTCTCTCTATCTCTTCCTCTTCTTGAAAGGACATTTGGCTGAACACAGGTGGCTCACACCTGTAAACCTAGCTACTCCAGACAGTTCAAAAACAGCCCAGGCAAGAAAGTCTGGGATTCTTATCTCCAATTAACTACAAAAAAAAAAAAATCTGTCATATTGGCCTCATCCTGTGACCTCATTTAACTTTTACTTTCTTCAAAGCTCTAAGTATAGTCACATTGGGAATTAGGGGTTTGGAAAAGACACAATTCAGTCTATAATACCATTAATTAAAATTTAAATTTCTGGGACAGATATAAGTATTGGTACTTCTAAAAAAGGTTTCTAACAATGAGAAGCATACATGTCTGTCTTGTGTATGCAATGATTTTGAGGGTTGAATATTCCCCATCCCAGCAAGGAAGGAAGGGAAGAAAGGAAGAGAAAGAGTGGAAGAAGGAAGGAAGGAAAGCAAAAGAAAGTAGGGGAGGGAGAGAGAGAGGAAAAGAAGGAAAGGAAAGGAAGCAGGAGGGAGGAAGGAAAAGGAGAAAAAGGACAAGAAAAAAAGGTCAGGGAGAGAGAAAAATGAGAGAGCTTCTCAAGGTTGAAGTTCTGGTTAAAGACACCTTTAAGGATGGTACTGCTCTTTTGAATTTTACCACTTACTTGCACTGTGTATCTGGAAAAGTAACACTGAGCTTCTATTTCTTCTCCTGTAAAATGGGGTGATAGTAGAAAAAAGTTTTTGTGTGATTTAAGAGAAATGCTCAGCCAGGCGCCAGTAGTTCACACCTGTAATCTTAGCTACCTACTCAGGAGGCTGAGATCTGAGGATGGCGGTTCGAAGCCAGCCCAGGCAGGAAAGTCTGTGAGACTTTTATCTCCAATTAACCACCAGAAAACCGGAAGTGGCACTGTGGGTCAAATGGTAACCTTTAGCTGAAGAGCTCAGGGCCAGAGTTCAAGCCCCACGACTGACAAAGAAAAGAAAAAGAAAAGAAATGCTCCATGGCATACATTTAGCACCTGCTGCACTAAGATGTGTACTGTCCAGGTATGGAGGTAAGGGGATTTCCTGGGACCACAGAAAGGATGTAAATAGAAGGGTGCAACAAGAGAGTGTTTCTGTAAGAAACAGTGCGATTGGGTAAACTTAATCTTGAGCAAGAAACGTTGACTTCTTATTTAAGGTTTCTCTTCTCTGAGCCAGGATAAGGAAAGTTTCCTTGCTGGGCACCAGAGGGCACCCGAAGCCCACAAAGGAGAATCTGCCTGGGGAAGTGGATGAGACAAAAGGTTGAGTGGCAACTTTATGCAGCTGCAAGGAAGGAAGGGAAGGAAGGAGGAAGACAAAGAGTGGAAGAAGGAAGGAAAGTAAAAGTAGGGGAGAGAGAGAGAGAGAGGAGAAGGGAAGGAAAGGAAGCAGGAGGGAGGAAAGGAGAGGAGAAAAAAAAAGGGCAAGGAGAGGATTTAAATGCAATGTTTTAAGTCACAAAATTCAATATTCAAGGCTGGGAATGTGGCTTAGTGATAAGTGCTTGCCTAGTGTGCATGAAGCCCTGGGTTCCATTCCTCAGTACCACATAAACAGAAAAAGCCCAAGTGGCGCTGTG